AACAAATATTTACTATTTCTTCTGAATTTCTAATGGTAAATGTAATTTCTCATCATTGGCTTGTTGTCATTTTGAAGAAAAAACTAAAAATTATGAAATATTTCACTCTGTAAAACCAATGAAGATAATGTGCAAGTTGCTTGATTATAATTATACTGTAAATACATTTTGCAGTGTAGTTTTTCTTTTTACTTGCACTGTGGAAAAAACCTAACAAAATCTTACCATAAATTTTTATTGAGAAAACAAGAAAAATTCACTTGAAATAAGCCAAAACTAATTTATAAATAGCATTTCTGTAAGAAGAAGGGTCTTGTTTTAAGTCAATTATTTCTTAATATAAGTAGCAAGTACCAGTTCCACTGGCATATTATTTCACTGATTACAAGACATTTTTCCAAAACTATAAGTAAAATAATCAGCGTGTGAAACTAGTACATTTTTAAGTCAACATTAAGCAATTATGGACTTAAAACTAGCTACAATATCTTGTTGAAAAGTTACTTCAAGTGCACTAAAATATTTGGACTTATGAGATTCTCTATCTCCAGGTGCAGAAACCTGAAACCACATTATTTCTCTGTCTCCACTTTTCATGCTGTATTATGAAACCTTATGTACAGATTTATGTGGAGATCATGTGTTTCTGCAAATAACATCATCCTGATATTGATATTGATATTGCACAAAGCTCAGTCAGGCTTAGGTATCTTTTTATGTGATTTATTTGTATTTTGTTAAATTATCATTATTATTTTTCTCATATGGACCTATCAGTGTCTCTAATAAAGTTGATGATGATGGTGGGAGGATCAAACTGACCAGCACAGGAATGTGGCACAAAATGTTCCAGAACAGCAGAGCCGTCTATATTAGCATAGAAGATCGTACTCAATTAACATGAGCTTCAACACCTGCTGACTAACATAACAGAATCAATTTAATCCAATAAAGTAATAAAAAAAACAAAATATTATCCCACACATGAAAAGAAGAAAAAAAAACTCAAGTAAATCACTTTGTACTCGGATTTGTACTGGATTTGCTCACTAATTTACTGCATCTCTTCCTCATACTTTTCTCTTATTTTTCTCTCCACTTCTTTCTCTTTACATATTTCCTCTTCTTTCTCCT